GGGGGGGGGGGGGGGGGGGGGGGTGATTGGGATGTGATGGAGGATGTACATGTTTGGGAAAGGGCATGGGGGGAGTGTCTGGATGCCGCGGATCAAGGTTACACGAGAATCGACGGATACGTCATGTTGGGGCAGTATAACGTACGCGCGTGCGATTTGATGTTTCGGCCGGTCGGTGGGGGGGATTTCCGGGGATTTATTATAGTTCTTGAAGAAGGGCAAGAGAGGGCTTGGGGGAGGGGGGGAGAGAGAATTTTTTTTTTAGATTTTTGGAGCGGATTTGAGGGATAGAATGGGTTTGAAAAAAATTAAAGAAAAATACGTAAAACTGAAGTTTTTTGAAGTTTCAACAATTTTGATTTTTTTTTCAGAAAAATTTGAACAGATTTTGGTGAATTTTTAGGAATGCCCATTTGTCCCTTCAGAATGCATTCGTTGCTTTTCTCATCTGAACATTTTCTGTGAAGTTAGTGTCACTTTTGTTTTATCTTATTTTTTATTTTATGATAAACGTGGTTTTTATAAACCCATGCGCTTTTCAATATTTATAAAAAATTATTTCAATTGAAAAAAAATTTAATTGAAAAAAAAAATTTCATTTTTTTTAGTAGATTTTTTGATTTTTTTGAAAATTGTCTTTTCTTTGTGTTGCATTATTTCGTGATTAATTTTCAATTCTCATCAGTAACGTTTTTGGTAGCTCTCCTTTCCTCGTATAAAAAAATTCACAAACACCGAAATTCGTATGAGATTTCATGCTATTCATTAAAATCGTTTCTCCAAAAATTTTTGAGACATTTCTCTCCATGAAATTTAGCATTCGTTTGATTCTGCTGCTCTAACATTCGCTTTACGCTGACAATAGAATTTTTTTTCGAGCCACCGCAGCCATTCCGTTGAGCGAGTATCAACTGCCCACACATCAATTATTTTTACAATCTGATCAATTCCAGTTGAGTGAAGGAGTCCAGGTAGAAATAAATATCAACACTGAGCTGTTTTAATTTAAAAAAATCTTATAATTCATTTATTAATCAGTTAATTATCCATAATAATTTGAGAACACTTGGGATTATAAAAGTACAAAAATTGTTCCTCACGAGTCCAGGGAGTTGACGAAGTGGGAACGATCGACAATTCGCTGGGCCTCGTCGTACCTAGCTTTCAGGGTCTCGGGGTCGGATAAAAATCTCTGCCAGAGGATTGATTTCTCACGCTCTAGGGAGCCACTTGCAGTCTTAGTCTGAAAACCAACGAAACAATCGAGTGGTCGATTATATGTGCTCGAGGCAGTGAGAGGGGAAGAGGGGAATTCAGTTGAGTGAATTTTAACGCATCAAAACGGACGAAAAAATCAATAGACAAATCTAGCTAATTCTATAGAAAATTCTATTTAATTTCTCATTAACGAATAATCCTCACTCTTTTGAACTCAATTACTGATCTATAAAATACTTGAAATTTTGGCCAAATTAGATTGATGAAAACGGAAAAAAAATTGAGAAATTAAAAAAATTAAATAAAAATGAAAACGCAAACAAAATCATTTCAATAAAAATGTTAAAATTGTCGAATACAGTCGGCTGACTCTGCATGCAATGAAATAATGTTACTCAGACATTATGATTATGTCGAAATATGGCTGAGGCAAATTAATGAAGTTCAAATTACCACAATATCCTTGAACTTTTTCCTAGCTTCATTAACAGCGGTTTGAGCTGCTTCGACGTTGCTCGTCACTTCCTCCAGTTGAGTGGATATTTTGTAAGGCATCAGTTTAAAACTCTTCGTCAGTCCCTCAGACGTCTCGTGATCGTAAAGAGTCATCACGTCTTTCTCGCTGATGAATCAAAATTGAAATGTGATGAACAATTAATTCACTATTTTTCACTATTGTTCACTAAGTTTCCAATATATTTTTTTTTGTTGTTTTTTATTTTTTCTCAAATCAAAAGAATTTAAAAAAAAGAGAACTCATTCGGAAGCAAATTGCTAATGCATTAGCTATACTCATTTACAAAAAAATGCACTTGTCGACTTGTTTTTTCATATTTAATCTGTAAAAATTATTGTTGGACTTACAGAGGCCCCAGTATGTCGATTCTCGTGTCCAAATTAGAGCCCAGAATTTCCTCCTTCATTCTCCTGTTCTCCATCAATAATTCATCGTACTGTTTTGTCGATAAATCCAATGCATCCGTCTGTTTTTCCTTTCCAAGAACCAGCGATGAAAATAACTCGTTGAAAATATTCTGTTTGTACGACGGTGCCGTCATTATCGAATTGTATTTCTCCTGCTCCTTTTGCATAAACTCCTGAAAAATCAATTAATTGAACTGAAGCAATTCAACAAAAATCTTTAGTCAAAGAAACTGAGGAGCAAAATGGTGTCAATAATTTTTTCAAAAATTTCTTATCAGTATTTCCCTGATATATCGTAAACCATTGAGTTTACGGGAAAATGTCACTCTACCTTTTTTGCAGAGAATTAAATTCCCCACAAAAAATGTAGTTTGACATTTTCCCCTGAATCCACTGGTTTCAGAGATATTTGTGAAAATATCATTAGTAGATGAGAGAAGTTGGTGTAAAGGAGATTATCTTCAATGAGTTCTGGTATTTCTAATCGCGATTATCATTTTCATCGTCTCGGTTATCAATCATGTACTCATATATATTTTTAAAGAAACAGATACTCACACATCTCTTGGAAGCGTGTGAATACTCAGCAGCAAGATGATACCTCGCGTCGTTAACGAATTCAACAATTTCATTGAGTTTTCGCAATTGCACTTGCATGAGTATCGACAGTAAATCTGAGTGTGCATGACCCATGTCACGAGCAAAGTGCAAAAGTCTCTCGATCTTCGAGAGTCGTTTTTTTCTGCGCTCCAAACGTGCCTGACCATTCTCAAGAAGAATTCTAGTTATTACGAATTTTCCGTAGTAGTTTGCAGCCTCTTGCAGTCTAGTGTCCATTAGTAGATTCGTTTCCTCGAGGATGTCTCGTCTGGATATTAATTCTGCCATTTCAACTCTAGAAAACAATTTAAAGGGTAATTTTTCAACGAATGAAGGGAAGAGATGTAAAGAAATGACGAAACAAATCAGACAAGACGAATTGATTGTTCACGTTTTCTTAAACATAAGACTAGATCTCGATAACGAGTGGTTGTGGACAAAAATGTCAAATGATATTTTTTGTCGGAAATTTTGTCCGCTACAAAAAAGATCTTGACACATTTCATCGTAAAATCCCTAGTTTTCGGAATAGCGAAGAATTACTTCTGACGAATGAAGATAATTGACTAAAAACCACTGAAAAGAAATTCAACTATTTATTTTCGATGGAATTATTTATGAGGTCAACGTTTCCTCCATCTCTCTCAGACTCAGAGATGTTCATCGTTTTATCAATCTAGTGAATAATAATTAATTGGTAATTCTCACTTCATTTGAGCAACAGACTCCGGGGATTTGATTTCTCCATTATTGTATATCTCCAGGGCATGAGCTGCCACCGCCTCAGCGCCACATAATTTTTTTCTAGCTTCAATTTCTTCTAGAGTTGATGTTATTAAACTGAAAGGAATCAAATGATAATCCAAAATCTGAGGATTGACTTTGCTCTTCTTAAAATAAAATGAAAGAATAATTTTTCAAGTTCGGGAATTATTTGGTCTTACATATTCTGGCAAGTTATCAGTTCATACGCCCTTTCATTCTGCATCTGCTCGGTGGAGTCCTCATCGCAAAGATGATCGTGGGTGCTGGTGGATAACACATCGTTCTGCATTTTTTTCAACTCTCTGTTGACTTGAAATCTCAAATAATTGTTGTACGTGTCCGTGTGTTTGATGAAGAGATCGAGAGGCACTTGGGTCCACACAATGGGAGGTCCTTTCTTCTCAGCGGCATTGGCGTAGACTCCCACGAGGTTCTGGACGTCCTCGTAAGCCTCACGACAGGCCGAATCAAACTCGTCAACGAGACTCGCACAATCTTCGTAGATTTTATTCTCCTGAATCTGTATTTTGTGGAGTTGAGACTCTTCGGCTTCAATTTTTTCGTCCAACTGGGCCTCCAAGTCCCTGAAAATCTCACATACTTATAAATTAGGAAATTTAAGGGCTATGGACGTAGTTAGGGCACATGAAACCCCACCAAGTTTAATTTTACAGATATAAATTTAGTATATCTCCGAACCTGAGGGAGATAACTGAATTTTCGTAATAACCTTTTTTATAGCCCTTGATTTGCCTTACAAAAAAGGTAATGACAAAAATTTTACCATCTCCCTTAGATTTCGAGATATTCGCCTCGAAAAACAAAAATCTTCTTCTAGAATTTTTTTTAACAATCAAAAATGTTCATTTATCGTTAATAAAATTAGTCAATTTGTAAAAATTATTGGGCAGTGGTTTAAATACTCACTTGAGTGTCTTTAAACTCATCTCCAGCCCTTCAACATCCCTGACATCAGCGTCGTACGCCTCCTTCTCCACGTCATACTCCCTCCCAACATCTCCATCGCTTATCCTCTCAATCTGCGCCAACCTCAACAGCTCCGGAGTGTCTCCAGTTGCACCGAGCAACTCGGCCTCCAATTCGTCACCTGACAGCCATGCCCCTGTCTCCAGCAGACGTTTTCTCAGTTGCACCTCCTCCTTCAGTAGAATATTCTCCTGGCCCACGTGCTCACAGAACCATCTCAGGAAAGGCTGCACCGAGGTGTTCTCACACGTGTCGTTCAGTAATTTCGGAGTCAATTTGTATGAGTTGTTGGGCAATAGTTGTCGGATTTTTGACGACAAATCAGCACCTGTGATACTCATTTTATCTAGAAAAATCACAATAAAATGTCACGATCCCTTCTAGAATTTTTTTTAACAATCGAAAATGTTAATTTATTGTTGATATATTATTGGAATTAATTTGGAAGAAATATTGGGCAATAGTTGTTGGATTTTTTATGACAAATCAGCATCAGTGATAATGATTTTATTTAAAAAATCACAAGAAAATGTCACAATCCCTTCTAGAATTTTTTTTAATAATCGAAAATGTTTATTTATTGTTGATATATTGTTGGAATTAATTTGGAGGAAATATTGGGCAGTAGTTGTTGGATTTTTATGACAAATCAGCATCAGTGATAATGATTTTATTTTAAAAATCACAATAAAATGTCACGATCCCTTCTAGAATTTTTTTTTATAATCGAAAATGTTGATTTATTGTTGATATATAGTTGGAATTAATTTGGAGGAGATATTGGGAAATAGTTATTGGATTTTTTATGACAAATCAGCATCAGTGATAATGATTTTACTTTAAAAAACATAAGAAAATGTCACAATCCCTTCTAGAATTTTTTTTAACAATCGAAAATGTTCATTCATCATTAATAAATAGCTATAGTCGATTTGTGCGAATTATTGGACCATAGTTGTTGTATTTTTCACAACAAATCAGCACTGGACATTCATTTTATATAGAAAAGTCCCAATAAAAAAATCAAAAGTTCTTCTAGAATTTTTTTCGAATGGTAAAGTACTTTTTTTTAAATCCAATTGTTGCGAATGTTTATTCATTGTTAATTGATGGTTTTTGAGATTTTAAGGAGTTACTAACCTCAAAAATACAGTCATCTAGCACTGGGCCACATCTGTGAGCGTTTATCACTTGAATTCATTTGATGAGCTAATTACTTATGTTGTTTCACTTGGGGTTTGTTGTCACTGGGATTGGGGGTGGGGAATTGGTGCTGATTACTGGGTTTTCTTCGTTGAATCGCTTGACAGAAGACTGCAAAAGGAAAAACCGCCCCGGTTATTTGAAGATTCGAAGGGAAGTTGAGACGCGTCGCGTCCGGTGGCGCCAGTCGCCGATTTTTAATCTCAGTCGGTCTATAACCACTGGTCAATGATCATTTTGTTAGTTAAATTTTCATGTTACATTAGTTGTTACATTATTTCACTGGAATCGACTTTTTCCAATCTTTTTATTCCTGGAATAATTGGAGAATTCTTTCATTATTGATGATCATTTATGGGACAGATGGACATTCAACAAATTTTTGCTATAAATTTATTTTAGTTTCTCTTCATTTTATTTTTATTTTATATTTTTTCGTCATAAAATTTTTTAGAAGAATTATTCAATTATTTATTATCATTGATGGAACTGGTGGATATTCAACAAATTTTTGCTATAAATTAATTTTAGTTTCTCTTCATTTTATTTTTATTTTATATTTTTTCGTCATAAAAATTTTTAGAAGAATTATTCAATTATTTATTATCATTGATGGAACTGGTGGATATTCAACAAATTTTTGCTATAAATTTAATTCAATTTATCTTCATTTTGTTTTTATTTCGTTTTCCTCATAAAATTTGAGGACTAAAGATAATTAGAACTAAATTCTATAATCTGGGCAGTTCCTGTCAGATAAGTTGTATTTTTACTTCGATTTATCACTTTATTGGGAAACAGTATTTACATTTTTTTTACTCGGAGCAGTTTACACATTATTTCACTGTAAATTGAGAGGGGAACTAAGATGAGGGACTCGTGTGGATCCTGATGCCGTGCATGTCCTTTATTTCATCTTTCAGTGTCTGAAATAATCACAAGGTGATTAATTATCAATTGCGTTTAATCGGAAAATTGTAGAAGAAGAATCTGAAACTATTTTAGGAATTGTGGATTTATCTCTGCGAGGAGAGGTTCTAGAAGAAAATTTTATAAAAACGTTTTCTGAAATTTTCCTTCTCAAATTTTTTTTCTCTCAAATCTCTCAGGATCGAGATAATTGAACAGTTCATAAAGTATTAAAACTGTTCAAGTTTTAAACTGACATGAAGTGTCTCTTGAAATTTTATTCTTTACAAAATGAAGAAAATTAATTCAACTTAATTTGATTTTTTTTTATTTAATGTTTAGGAATTCTTTGTAAAATGATCAATTAATCGTTTTTGTCTTCTCAAGTCACCAATTGATAAAGTATTAATTTAGATTTATCGATGTCTATGAATTTTTTAAATGAAAAAAATCTATGAATCTCCGTCAAGTCATTGATGTCAAAAATATGAAGAAAAAAAATTTCTTTTTGAGAAAAATCAATTAATAAATTTATCACTCATCCAGTGATCAACATGATAGAGAAAAAAAAATAACAATTGATGAAAGTTTGGTGCTTACTTCGTTTATTAATCGATGTTGCTTGATTGTGTTCAATCCTTTGAATTCCGGGGCTATTACACTAATCTCAAACATTGCTCCACATCCACCTGACAGTAAAAAAAATGAAAAATGAAATTAATTCCGAAGGAGAATGCAAATTAATTTTTCCATTTTTCGTGTTTAATTTTTTTTACCCGAAATATCAGTGACTTCGATGACTTCTGCTTTTGGAAATTTGCTCCTCAAGAGTGTTGTCATTTTTTCCTCAGCTTTTTTGCCAGCCAGTGCTCCAGACTGGCCGTTCCACACCCGCGACAGTAACTGGAAAATTTTGACATTACGAATTTTTCTCATCACAACAAAAACAAAACGCCACCATATCCCCCCTAAAAAAAAACAAGGAAAACTCCGATGAAATGAAATCAATAAGCGAAGCAGAAACGTGGAAAATCACATTAGTTTCCGGGGAATTTTTGGGATTTTTCTTCATAATGAAGGAGTTTAGGAGGAAATATCATAAAACATTTTTTGTTGGAAATTTTGTCAGCTACAAAAAAGGTTCAGAGGCTATTTTCGCTGCAGGCCCTAGTTCTCGAGATATTTGAGGTATAGACAAGCTCAATTTTTTGATAAAAACAAAACGCCAACAAATTCTTCCCAAAAAACAACAGGGAAGACTACGATAAAATGATGAATGATAATATTATTTTTCTTATCATTGTCTAGTTGATGTAATGTTTGACTTAATGTTAATGTCCAGTGTGGCTTTTATCCTGGAGTCGTTTCCAAGAAAAATAGAGATAAAGATACAGAAAAAAATCACGTGGATATCATACCGAAATGCGTCGGTGGCTCGCGCTGACAATTCTTCCAAACATCTCAAGGAAATAACCCCCAAAACTCCAGTCCTCTCTCAACAATTCTCCAATAATTCCTCAACAATTTTCTCTCCTACTCCCCAAATCCACGTGTGAGCAGTCCTCTCGGCAACTCAACCAAAAGACAACAGAATCCCCCCAGTGCTGCCCCCTGCCCCTCCACAAACCGTCAACAACATCAGCTGTTCTTCAGAACCCCAAGACCGCGAAATCCCCAACTCCGAAGCCCAATTTTGTACCTTTTCTACCGAAAAAAAAACCCAACACTCGATTTTGCACTAATTTTTTAAGCTCAGGTAAATGTACTTATGCTCGTCCTGTCCCTGTGCTCGTTCAGGTGCTGCGAGCTATCACATTTTAATCATTTCGCCAGTCCCAAGAGTCTATCGAGAGTGAAATACGAGTGGAGTTATTATTTTAGTTAATAAGGACAGTTATCGACACCAGTGAAGAGTAATTTATTGAAGAATAAGAGAGAGAAATCCCACTCACGTCAACTGGTGCTACGACAGAGTGAATTCTTAAGCCGCAAGTCAAGAAACTCAATTTTTAAATGTTGATATCTGCGTTGTAACAGTAAAATGGGATTAAAAATCCCTTGACTGAGGTTTCGAAAAGGTCTCGACACCAGTGAAGAGTAATTTATTGAAGAATAAGAGAGAGAAATCCCACTCACGTCAACTGGTGCTACGACAGAGTGAATTCTTAAGCCGCAAGTCAAGAAACTCAATTTTTAAATGTTGATATCTGCGTTGTAACAGTAAAATGGGATTAAAAATCCCTTGACTGAGGTTTCGAAAAGGTCTCGACACCAGTGAACAGTAATTTATTGAAGAATAAGAGAGAGAAATCCCACTCACGTCAACTGGTGCTACGACAGAGTGAATTCTTAAGCCGCAAGTCAAGAAACTCAATTTTTAAATGTTGATATCTGCGTTGTAACAGTAAAATGGGATTAAAAATCCCTTGACTGAGGTTTCGAAAAGGTCTCGACACCAGTGAACCAGTGATTTATTGAAGAATAAGAGAGAAATCCCATTCACGTCAACTGGTGCTACGACAGAGTGAATTCAGAAACTCACAATTTTTAAATTGTTGATATCTGCGTTGTAATAGTAAAATGGTATTAAAAATCCCTTGACTGAGGTTTTGGAAAGTTAAAAAATCAATAAAAATACATAAGTCGTAGTGATATCTTAATATTTCACTGAAACGTCGAATTATAAGAATAGGTGCAATGGAAGTGGCGTTGATCCTATGCTCGTTTAGCAACCAACTGTCAACTGGTAATGGACTAAACGGATGAAAAAATCATTTAAAAGTTTGGACTGTTCAGTTGAAATATAATTTTGTGCCTCGAGATATTTTTTAATGTTGCTTTATCCCAAATAGGATACTCACGATGTAATTAGTTCGGATATAATCTTTCCATATCATTCATGGGGACATGGGCATGGGGACAAATGAGCGAGCGTAGGGACATGGGACTTTCCACGTTTATGGACCATTATTTATTAAAAAATAGTCATTATCATGATTAATGTGAGTGAATTATAATTCTGAAGTTTTTACTTTCTGATATATAATTTAAAATCTGGCATCTTTGCACTCATTTCAATTGAAATATTGGACTAATGATGTGTTCGTCTCAGATAGACGAGCGTTGGGTCATTGTCAAAGCGAAATTATTTTCAAAATAATCAATCAGGGATGGAGAGTGGATTGAGTGATCGATGATGACTGAGAAGGAGGGAAAGATCGAGTTTGTGACGGAGGAGTGTCCCATAAAGCCTCGAAAATTTCTGCCTCAGAACATTGTGATAAGACTTCGTCGACGCGAAACAATCGGGTGTCTACACCCGGGGACTCATGTCATCAATGCTCGACAGTTCTACCAGAATGTCTTTCCCAATTACACGGTTGTCAACGTGGAGAAACCTCCGTGCTTCCTGAGGAAGTTCAGCCCCGATGGCAGGTACCTGGTGGCTTTCAGCGCTGATCAGACTTCGATTGAGGTTTACAAGTATGAGGGGGCCTCTGCAGCTGCTGAACTACTGGTCAACTGCGACGGCGAGTTCATGGGGGACAAGAACGACGACAGGTCTTTTGATATTCGAAGCAGTATTTTCCATCGGTTTTTCAAGGTTTGTCGAGGGGCTTCATGATTTTTTGAGGAAATCGGGAACATTTTGGGATTTTCCTGGATAATGAAGGGGTTTAAGAGGAAATGTCAGAAGACATTTTTTGCTGGAAATTTTGTGAGCTACAAAAAAGGTTCAGAGACTATTTCTGCTGCAGCCACTAGTTCTCGAGATATTTGAAGTATAAAGAAACTTCATTTGTTCAGGGAACTTCACCTCAGTCATTACATTTTTTTAATTATCTCAATAATTAAGGGTTTTAGGAGAAAATGTTACATGACATTTTTTGTTGGAAATTTTGTGAGCTATAAAAAAGATTCAGAGACTATTTTAGCTGCAGCCACTAGTTCTCGAGATATTTGAATCATGAAGTTGATTTTTCTATTTTCAGCCAAAATGTGTGGTGAATGTTGTCGATAGTAATGAGCAATTGAACAGAGAATGCAGTTTATTTACTGATGATGGACGTTATGTAATTGTGGGATCAGCTAAACATATTCCTGAGGATTTGAGACCTCATTTTTATCAGGTAAAAACAGAAAAAATCAACGTCTCAAACATTCATTTTTGTCTTCTTTTTTTTTACGTTTTTAATTAACATTTTCATTTCTCAACTATTTCCACAGATTTATTCCAATAATGAAGCCCTCACCCCGAACCCCAGATCGCCTCTCGAGGACTACTGTCTTCACCTGGTGGACCTGAGGGGTGGAAAACTCTGTGATACTAGACGTTTTTATACCGATAAAATTTATCTCTCCCACAATCAAGGTAAATTCCACAAAAAAAAAACAGTTTAACAAATCATTGAAAAAAAAAATCATTTTCTGGTAAATTATTTTTGTTTATCTCTAGGGCTTTACTTGTACAAAGATATCTTAGCTGTTCTCTCTGTTCAACATCAGACGATACACATTTTTCAGATACTGGATGGAATGTTCATCAATGTTCGAACGATTGGAAGGTATGAACTAATTACCAATTGCGTAATTGTGAAAGAGTTCATTTAATATCAGCCATTGATTTTTGTTAATCATTTTAAAAATCTAACAGACATCACAATTTTCTGTCAAGATTTTGTGTAATATTTTCTACAAAGCTGCAGAATTTTTCAATAGAATGGACCAAAAGTGATGGAATTTTTAAAAGTTCAATTGAAATCTGATGGAATTTTCCACAATTTCCAATTTTTAATTAATCAATTACTGCGCATAAAAAATGTTTTTTTTTTCATTGTCAAATTTAAGATTCTGTTTGGAAGATGAGGCTTATCTGGTGGCATCTGCCTGGCCGGGCGGAAACTCTCGACCCTTTCGAGACGGAACGATTAATTCTCTCAAACACAAATTACTGGTTTATCTGTACAAAAGAGCGGCTTACATCAGTGATAATGGGAGAGACCCCTATGAGCTTCGAAGGTTCTACCAGTACTTCGATCAGGTAATGATGAAACAATATATTTTTGAATGGAATTTCTACGACGATGTACTTTCAATTGAGTTCACTGCAGAGGTAGGCAAAATCGTAGTAAAGAATTCAAATGATTTTATTACATACAAAATCAGGTAACTGTATTGCAGAATTTTTCAAATTTTATTATCATTTTATTACATTAATTATCAATTACATTTGCAATTTTTCAAATTTTAATTTCAAATATTTTATAAATTAGTAATCAACTTCGCAAGAATGATGATTATTTGATTAATTGAAAAATTAAAATCAGATATTGAGAATTAATCGATTAATTATAATTGAGAATCAAAAATTATTGAATTCATTACACGCACATACATGCATTATTTATTTTAGGACATTATACATGCAAAATTAGTTACCCTGACACTAAAAATAGGAAATTTCGAATTTGACGATAAAACGGTTTAAGTCGACTTATCTCCCAGTCTAGTTTTTGAGGAATATTTCTGAATCTAAGGGAGATAGCGAAATTTTCTTAATTGCATTTGTTGTAGCTCTCAATCAGCTCTGCAGAAAACGTTACAACAAAAATTTGCTATCCCCCTTAGATTCCGAGATATTCATTGAAAACAGGTCAATAGTCAAAATTGATTTGTACCGTTTCACCTCTTCGCTACTGAATTTTGCTTCGATTCGCAAGTAAAAAACAGAATGATGAAACAATGAGGTAAATTCTTCGATCAAAATGATTATCTGTGGAGTTTTTCTTGCAGTACAATGCCCTGAGAATGTGGAAAATGCAGTTACTTGACACCAATCATATCCTCGTGAGGTATGCAAGTGAGGAGGTGGCGACCCTTCAAGCTAATGATCCTAATGCACATCCTGCACTGCTGGTGGTCTACGACATGGTATCAGCGAAGGTTCTCGCAGCCTATGACAATGCCTCTCCTCACATGCTCACGCAACTCGAGAACTTCAGTGATTTTTTCAGGAATGCCGACTGCCAGTACATCTGCTCGCCTTCCAACAACATTTATGCCAGGTAATGTTTTTATTGTACATATTGAAAGACTCGAGGTCATTGCATAATATTCTGTACGTTTGTGGGATTTATTTTGTTACAAAATTATTGAACTAAGAGAAAAAATTGGGTGTGTGTTCCACGTGAGAATATTTGATGGAATGGAACAGATTTACTTGAGGGAAATTGAGGAGTTTGATAGAAAGAAATTTAATATCTTTCACAGAAATGAAATTTTTGTCATGATCGTGAGAAATCTCTAGAAGAATTCGAACTGTTGGCAGGCAGAGGTTTATACTATAGAAAGAATACATTGACGAGGAAAGAATATTTTTCCCCCAAAAAAATTTCCCCCTCGAAATTATTTTGGTTTCCCAATAACACAGTTTTCGTCAAGAAAATTGTAGTTTCTTCTCGAAATTACCATTTGTTCTATTTGTTCTATGAATAGATAATACAAAAGGTGCTTTGTGTCATGAAGATTATGCCTTTATGCCTAAAATGAAAATGAAAATGAAGATGCAACTGAAGATGAAAACGAAAATGACAATAAAAAATGACAATTAAAAATAAAAATATAAATTTCTCCTTTTGGATTTTAGACTGATGCAGCAGAGGTTCAAACAGACGATTGTGAGTGCCAGATACGGTGGTGTGACAGAAGCCACTAAAAGATTGCTCTCGCAATTACCAATCTGTGCACAATCGTATTCTAGTTCACCCTATCTCGATCTCTCACTCTTCTGTTACGATGATAAATGGGTGTCGATGATGGAGAGACCAAAGGCCTGTGCTGAGCATCCAATAAGGTAAGAGGACAATAATCAACAGATGAAAAATCCCAAGTCGACAAAAATTAAATTCAATTTTCGTAAAATTGAAAATAATCCACGCATGAAAAAATTTAACAGACGAATCCTCGTCTCCTGAAGTAATGACTGATTTATTTTTCTTCTCAGATTTTATGCTAGAGACTCAGGCCTTCTGAAGTTCCGAATGTACGCTGGGATGCTGGGGAGAACGACTCCTGTTGTCGCCAGACGTCTCGTTGCATTTACCTTTCATCCGACTGATCCATTTGCCATTTCTGTCCAGCGCACAAACGCTGAATACATTGTTAGCTTTCATGTTCGTCATATTTGAATTGTTTTAAGTATTTTAATAAAGAAATTATTTAAAAACACTCCTTTCACATCATGAATTTGGTACTCGAGGGAAAGAACATTTCATTGTTTAAGCAATTATTTCCACATCCAATTTTTCCATTAATTTATCACGATATTGTGAAGAATGGATACATTTAATAAATAAATAACTGTTTATTCAAGATTTTGGGGCAAAAAAGAGATGCAAAAAGGAGTGACGCCTCCGCGGACTAGAAACGAAGATAAAAGAATAAAACAGCCCCTTTCGATTTTTTTTTGTAATTCTCATAACTCAAACAAATTCATCAATTGAGATCAGTCTAGGCTCATTCTAAAGGGGAATAAGTCTAGTTTCCATGGAAAAAAATTATTTTATTTTATTTAAAACTGAATGAGCTGTTAACATTTTTGAAAAAATCAAAGGGACCCGTTTTACCCCACTCTCCCCTTGAGATGAACATTGGCCTTGATTTTCGTTTCAAACTGCACATTAGGCTAATACGAAATTAATTAAAATAAAAATTGATACAGAAAAGATGAAGTTGCGTCTATATAGGGGAGGGTAGGGTAAAATGGACACTTTCGACGTTTTTAAAATTATTCATAACTCAGAAACAAATGTATCAATGGAGCTCAGTTTAGGCTCATCACAAAGGGAAAGAATTGTTCTTTGTAGTAAAAAAAAAAAAGATTAAATTTCATCAACATTTCAACCTGTCACTAATATTTTTTTAAAAGTCAAAAGTGTCCATGTTACCCCAACTTCCCCTAGATGAAAATGCGATGGTCTATGAAGAGGGGAAGGGGGGGGGAGCCTGACAGCCGTTACGAACCCTCGTCATGTGACGCATTTGCGTCTCCGTACGGTCCTGTACGCAGTTAATAAAAAGTCCCCCTCTTTTCTGTGAAATAATAATTGTTATTGAAGAAATCTGATGACAAATTATTGACAAAATGATGGGGAAAGGAATTATTGGAAGAATGTTTGTGGTCAAACGTGGTAAGTAATTAATAATGCGCATTGATGCTCTGAATAATTGAAAATTGAATTGAAATGAATTCTCCGACGTTGTTTTCATTCTCAATGTCTGCTGACCCAACGATGCGATTTCGACGAATCGAGGCTCATTTTGAAGCTCGAGAAATTTATTTTGAAGGAAAAAAAAAATCTTGAATTTCACTCAGCCGATCTCGAGCTGTTGACGAGTGAAAACACCCCGTTTTTGCCCAATAATAGCTTCCAACAATAGGGTAAACAGGTCTATTTTTGGACGGGGGTTAGTTTCTGGACGATTTCAACCTGCATTGAATATTCCGCAAATAAAATGAAAATTGTACTGATTATTTCAACTTTCAATAGTATTACCAGTGAATTATCATGTGATCAATTATTTTTTCTATCGATCGACATTTAATAAATAAAAAAAACATGACCCAGTCGTCCGGAAATTGGGGGTTTCGGCTGCATTTAACTATTTCTTAATTTAATTATTCTTTGTTTTGTTATTTTCACTTCAAATAATTTTTTTCTGCTAATTAAGACATTCTTGAAGGTGACGAAGCCATCACATCCCCATTTAGGTGATTCTTTTATTTTAGATTCCACATTGTTGAAAATTTTTGTTTTAAATTTGTGGGACATTTTTTGGAAATTCTTATCGAATTGAATTACCACTGAATCATTTTTTTTTCTATCGATCCACATTTAATAAATAAAAAACATGACCCAGTCGTCCGGAAATTAGAGGTTTCGGCTGCATTTAACTATTTCTTAATTTAATTATTCTTTGTTTTGTTATTTTCACTTCAAATAATTTTTTTCTGCTAATTAAGACATTCTTGAAGGTGACGAAGCCATCACATCCCCATTTAGGTGATTCTTTTATTTTAGATTCCACATTGTTGAAAATTTTTGTTTTAAATTTGTGGGACATTTTTTGGAAATTCTTATCGAATTGAATTACCACTGAATTTTTTTTTTTTCTATCGATCCACATTTAATAAATAAAAAACATGACCCAGTCGTCCGGAAATTAGAGGTTTCGGCTGCATTTAACTATTTCTTAATTTAATTATTCTTTGTTTTGTTATTTTCACTTCAAATAATTTTTTTCTGCTAATTAAGAAATTTTTGAAGGTGAGGAAGCCATCACATCCCCATTTAGGTGATTCTTTTATTTTAGATTCCACATTGTTGAAAATTTTTGTTTTAAATTTGTAGGACATTTTTGGAAATTCTTATCGAATTGAATTACCACTGAATCATTTTTTTTTCTATCGATCCACATTTAATAAATAAAAAACATGACCCAGTCGTCCGGAAATTAGAGGTTTCGGCTGCATTTAACTATTTCTTAATTTAATTATTCTTTGTTTTGTTATTTTCACTTCAAATAATTTTTTTCTGCTAATTAAGATATTCTTGAAGGTGAAGAAGCCATCACATCCCCATTTAGGTGATTCTTTTATTTTAGATTCCACATTGTTGAAAATTTTTGTTTTAAATTTGTAGGACATTTTTGGAAATTCTTATCGAATTGAATTACCACTGAATCATTTTTTTTTCTATCGATCGACATTTAATAAATAAAAAACATGACCCAGTCGTTCGGAAATTAGAAGTTTCGGCTGCATTTAACTATTTTTTAATTTAATTATTCTTTGTTTTGTTATTTTCACTTCAAATTTTTTTTTTTCTGCTAATTAAACCATTCTTGAAAATTCAGAATTTCGAGGAAAAATCAAAGAGAACTGTAAATTTCAGTTCCATTTTCCCCTGAAAATGAGTAGAAACCCAGAAAAATCCTGCAGTTTCAGATTTCACTGAAAATCCAATGTAATTTGGCACTGAATAAATATTAGATTGGAAATCCAAATAAACTAAGGAATCCTCATCGAATCCTCGTAAGCTGCTTAAAACCTGGAATTTTCCAGAACTTTCAGTGAACCTGAAATTTCATTTTTTTTCCAACACCGTACCACAACCCCCGAATTCCCTCCCCCGTCCAGCAATCGTCCTGTTCCCCCACTTCAATAAACAATAAACTTCGTCAATGACCCGAGCCAACGGAAAACAAATTGCCTACTCCCAGATGGACGTAAGGAGGAGGTCCACTACGACAAGATCACCTCCAGGATCCAGAAACTCTGCTACAACCTGGACATGGACTTCGTGGACCCTGTGAGCATCCCCTCGCCCCTAAGCCGTTCCCCAATGTTTCAGCCCTGAAATTTCACGAGGAAAAAATTCTTTCCAGCCTGCAATCACCCTGCGAGTGGTCAGCGGTCTGTACTCCGGTGTCACCACAGTCGAGCTCGATAATCTGGCAGCAGAGACAGCAGCCACAATGACAACAATTCACCCAGACTACGCAGTCCTAGCAGCAAGAATAGCAGTGGCAAATCTCCACAAGGAGACGAAGAAGAGTTTCAGCGAGGTAATGAGGGACCTCCACAACGCCACAGATCCCATAACCCAGGAGCACACCCCAGTAATCAGCAAACACCACAACGAAATAATCCAGAAGCACGCAGAGAGGCTGGACTCAGCGATAATCTACACCCGAGACTTCAGCTACAATTACTTTGGCTTCAAAACCCTGGAGCGCAGTTATCTGCTGAAAATCAATGGCAAAGTCGTTGAGAGGCCTGCCCACATGCTGATGAGAGTGGCAGTTGGAATACACGAGGAGGACATCGACAGAGTCATTGAGACGTACAATTATCTGTCCAAGAGATACTTCACTCATGCCTCACCAACGCTCTTCTCAGCCTGCACTTGCAGACAACAGATGTCCAGCTGTTTTCTGCTGACAATGACTGAGGACAGTATCGAGGGCATCTACGACACCCTCAAGAGGTGTGCACTGATAAGCAAGTCAGCTGGTGGTGTTGGAGTCAATGTTCACTGCATCAGAGCCAAGGGCACGCGAATAGCTGGCACCAATGGGGTGTCCAATGGACTTGTGCCCCTGCTTCGTGTTTACAATAATACAGCGCGTTACGTTGATCAGGGGGGTAACAAACGCCCTGGGGCATTTGCCGTCTATCTCGAGCCGTGGCACGCTGATATCTTCGATTTTCTGGATCTCAAGAAGAATACAGGTACATTAAACCTGGTTGGGAGAGCTTTTACATTCGTTTTGACCCTGAATTTTGTCCTCAACTTGTTTTTATTTACTTGTTTTCATTTTTTATGTCGAAAAAACTTCGTCAAAAAATTTGAAAGAAACTTTTAAACTTTTGACGTATTTTGACGTAATTTTTCTTCTACTTTTTTTTTATTGTGCAATAATAATTATTAGGGACTCCTGCGTGATGTAAAATCCAATGGAAATTGTGATATATTTAAAATTATGAAGATGGAAAAGCAAAATTTTACAGAATCATGGACTATTTTGATTCATTCTTATAAGTCGAAGAAATTTATGAGAAAAATAAGAATATTATTGATAGCTGTGATTATGTTGGCATTCAAGACCTCGGCAAAGTCAGCCTGTTCCCCTAGATGACGAGTTCTGAGGTACTCAAAACTCAAATAAATTTTCAAATCCACAGGAAAAGAGGAATACCGAGCACGTGAGCTATTCTACGCCCTGTGGATACCCGATTTGTTCATGAAACGTGTCCTGGCAGACGGTCCCTGGAGTCTGATGTGCCCCCACGAGTGTCCAGGCCTCTGTGACACTTGGGGTGAGGAATTCGATAAGCTGTACACAAAGTACGAGGAGGAGGCTCGTTACAAGCGTCAAGTGCCAGCCCGGGAGCTGTGGACAGCAATTCTAATGTCACAAGTTGAGACTGGAACTCCCTACATGCTGTACAAGGATGCCTGCAACAGGAAATCCAATCAGAAGAACCTTGGAACAATAAAATGCAGCAACTTGTGCACCGAGATCGTTGAGTACTCGAGCCCCGATGAAGTTGCTGTCTGCAATTTGGCATCGATAGCAGTCAACATGTTTGTGGATCCAGTGAAGAAGACCTATGACTTCGACAAACTCAAGACAGTCGTCAAAGTTGTCACCAGAAATCTCGACAGGGTCATCGACGTCAATTACTATCCAGTTGAGGAGGCAAGAGTCTCCAACATGAGACACCGTCCCATGGGAATTGGAGTTCAGGGTCTGGCAGATGCATTCCTACTGATGCGTTATCCATTCGACAGTGATGAGGCCCAGAAACTCAACATCCAGATCTTCGAGACCCTCTACTATGGTGCCCTGGAGGCATCCTGTGAACTCGCCCAAGAGAAGGGTACTTACGAGACGTACAAAGGCTCGCCAGTCAGCCAGGGCATCCTCCAGTACGACATGTGGGGTGTCACACCGACAAACCTCTGGGACTGGGCTAAACTCAAGGAGAAAATATCTCAACACGGGGTCAGGAACTCTCTGCTACTGGCACCAATGCCAACAGCATCAACAGCCCAGATCCTGGGTAACAACGAGGCCATCGAGCCCTACACCAGCAACATCTACTCCAGGCGTGTGCTGTCTGGTGAATTTCAGGTCGTCAATCCCCATCTGCTGAGGGACCTCACTGATCGCAATCTCTGGGACGATCACATGAAGAATCTGATAATAGCGAATAATGGGTCAATTCAGAGTATTGAGGAAATACCAGCAGACCTCAAGGCACTCTACAGAACAGTCTGGGAGATTCCCCAGAGGATGATCCTCAAAATGGCTGCTGATCGCGGGGCTTTTGTCGATCAGTCACAGTCACTCAATGTTCACATGGCCAATCCAACCACTGAGAAACTCACGTCCATGCATTTCTTCGGTTGGGAAGCTGGATTGAAGACTGGAATGTACTATCTCAGGACTAAACCTGCCACCAATGCCATTCAGTTCACTGTCGACAAGACGAGGCTCAGGGCGAATAAACCGGCCAATGTGGGCAATGAGTCCTTGGATGAGTCTCTCAACAAGTCACTCAATGCCTCCATCAATGCTTCCCTCAATAAGTCTCTCAATACCTCGGCCAATACGTCGCTTGAGGATCCTGCTCTCGTATGCTCGAGGGAGAATGGCGATGACTGCGTGGCCTGCAGTGGATGAGTACTATTTATTTTTTTACCCACAGTATTTTTGAATAAGCCCTGGTTAAGCTGTATTTTAAGATATTTCTCGAGTTTTTGGAGGGGGCTGTGAATTTTTTGTACAACGCAGTTGATCTGTCATTATTATGTGGAGAAGAATAAAAGTTTGGATTTTGTAAGACCGTTGTAATTTTTTATTCTCGGTCGGATGGAAATCATCACTGAGTTTTTATTTTATTCTCGTGGTGAAGGAGAATGAAAAATTACCGAATTTAAAAAATCATTTTCCATTTTTTATTTCACTAGGCGAGAAACATTAATCCACTGGAAACAAAATTTGGGAATTGAAACCATAATGCTCGATTCAACTGGAATCCTTCAAACACGACCAAACGTCTTTGTTAATTATGCGTTTGTCTGATTGACTAATCGGTTTGGGAAAAATGTCAAAAGAAATTTTTTATAGCTAACGAAGTTTTGCAAAAAAATCTCGATGTTCAGGAAGAGGAGGGAACCCATGGCAAATTCCTCATTTCCTCCGATTTTTCAGTATTTTCTTCGGAAACATGATGTGAAAAAAGAGATGTCACACTCTGATTCACCCGTGAAAAATTGAGAAGGGCACGCATGCAATCGATTTAATCGTAGTTCCACTCGGGAAACAAAGTGTTCCCTCAATTTGCAATTCTACTCGTCAATTATCATTTTTTTCCCTAACGCACGATTTAATACTCAATCGAGGTACCCTTTCCACCTGCACGACCACCCAACGAGCGATAAAATTGCGTATTTCCGGTGTGGAGAGAAGTATTTCTGCAGCGAAGTGGTGAATAGAGCAGATGGCGTTCAAAAATTGTATTCTTGTTAATTTGGAAATTCCTTGAAAACTACTGGGTTTATCGAAAAATGTCAGATAATATTTTCTGTGGAGAATTGAATTTTCAATAAAAAATGTTTATGGCATTTTTTGCTAAACCTACTCAATACCGAGATAATAGAAATGTTAGACGAAGGTAAGTCGGAAATTTCTGAAAACGTAAAAATTCAGAAGAATTCGATTTTTCTACACAACTTATTCTGCTCAGATATTTTCTACAGAAATTCCTCGGCTCAATGTTTTCACATCCTTTCGTTTCATTTTTTCAATGAGACGAAAAGTTTTTCTATTTGATTTTGGAAGTGAAAAGAGAAGAAAAATTGAGTGAAAAAAAAATTGGAACATTTCTAAAATAATATAGAATCATAATTCATAAAAAACTAAAACGATGAATAAAATAAAATGATGTTTCTAATTTTTTCGGGATCATAATTCTACAAAAAATCCTATTGTATTTTTATTGAGTTTTCCCCGTTACTTTTTGGTTGATTTTATTGAAAAAATGCCGCAGTTTATCTACGCGTTTTAAAAAAATAGAAATTCACTAGAATATCATTCTTTCCACAGAATATTCATTCTACCGAAAAAATCAAAGAATATTTTCTGCAGACATCCCTGTGCTCAAGTTAAATAAGATTTTTCAAATAAAAAGAGAAGAATAATTGCGTGAAAAGAAAATGGAAAATTCATATCGAGGCTGATGAATTATTTATGTTTATGTATGGAATAATGTCGAGGGATGAGAATTGAATGGTCAGTGATTAAAAATAAATTCAAGATATTCCCTTATCCCCTTGTTCCATCTTCATAATGCGCAGGATTCGAGTCACTAATTCTAGAACATGTGTTTCCACTCATCGATATGATAATTCCGGCATGGGGGGGGGGTAAACTTAATTAACGTGTTAATGAGTCGGGGGTATCGTGTTATGTTCCTTCACTCGTTGCCCAAGTCAGTTTATTAGCGATATGAAGAGGGGTGAGTTAGGCAAGGTGAACGCGGATGCAAAATGTTGGATGTCGCATTAGCGATAGCTCTTAGTTCCAATATGTGCATTTGTCGGTAATAATTAATATCAAGAGAACAATTCAGGAAATTTTTCTTAATTTCTAGTTGAGGGTCAAGTGGACTTGACTCTTAATTCATGAATTACGTCCCCCACTGCCATACTTCCGTTTTTCTAAAATGCCACTGACATTTTGAGGTCAATTTTTCACCTCAATTTTTGTCGAAGAGGGTCGAAGAGGGTCATGTGACCGTCAAAAATTCCATTCACCTTTTTTTGTTCATTCACCTCAATGAATTGATCTCCCTCCACTTTTCCAAAGGAGAAAGAAAATAGCTGAAACCAGTCATTCCTTTTTTACTATTTTCATGTTTATTCGTTCATCAATTATCCTCAATGCTCCCATACCCGGCACTTTAAACTACTCAGTTCTGTTCCAGTTTGTGAAATTTCGGAACCTGCCGCTATTTTTTGTCATTCATCATTCGCACACACATCCACACGATTTAATCTTCATTTTTCACTAATTATCCATCACACATTCATCATTGTGACATTCGAAATTACTTGGTAACTTCAAAGTCTCGGATTACCATGAAACAAAGAAAACAGCTTTTTTTTAACAAAAATGAATTTTATAATTAACTTTTATGGAACCTTTTACATAAGAAATGTTTGGATTTGTTTTTTTATCATTACGCGCATATTCTCATTCTTCTCATTTATTTATTTATAATGTTTGTTTATGTTTGTTGAAAAATGTTGAATAGGAAAATTGATATAATGGGGTGGTTTATCATTTTTCAGGTGTCGTTCACTAAGAATTTATGGACTTTTATCGATTTCCTTATTTTTTAAATCAAAATTTCAGGTGAAAATGTCAATTATTTTTTATCTATTCCCATAAACCTCAAATCCTCAGTTCAATCGTAAAGTTTTCTCAATTTTCAGACGATAATCGACAATTTTTCAGCGAAAATTTGATTTAAAAAATCGAAATATGAAAATGTAAAAAAACAATTATGAAATAATGATCTTATTTTTAATGTATTTCAAGTCCACAGCTCTTACATTTACGTGTAAGCTCTCAGTGACGATTTAAACCCCAAAAATATCGAGATATCCCTCGATGTAATCAACGAAAGATATTGATTCTTTAAACTCTAGGGATTATCCCAGTATAAAAATGATGAAACGTAATTAGACGTGTGATTATCTCGTTAATGAGTGGATCTATCAAAAAATGTGACAAAAGATTTTTTTCTTGAAATTTGATTCTCCACAAAAAATGTCTTTTCACATTTACCCGTAAATCCACTCACTAATGAGATAATCACCCATTTGTCTCACGTTTTACCACTCGATCACTGATTTATTTTCATCGTTCTAATACTCAAAAACCTTGCAACATTAAAAGTTGTGAATCTTCTATTCCCTCTCGATCCATCGACCCTCAAATATCCTGGATCATCAATTTCTTCTATTTTTTACGATAAAAAATTTCTATTTCCGACAAAAACTCGACCAGTTCTTCCCCCATTTCCCTGAATGCCTCCACCTCTCATCCTCAAAAAAAGCTATTCATTAATTCCCCTCTCCCTCTAATTATCTCCCACTAAAACAATCCTAATCGATAAATAAACTTAATACAAAAAATTTTGGTTATTAAATGCGAGAGATGAGAGGAAGAAGGGGGAAAATGTTGAAACGCCAAATCGAATTTTCCCTCTTTTATAATATTTTTTGCGCAGATAATTTTGTTTAACATTTTATTTCCTTACATATTCGTATACTGGTTACGGGCGAGATGACAGAAATTCCCCAAAAGTGTCTGGAAAAACTCTTGAATTATCTCCAAATCATTTCGATGAAGAATGCAATTAAATTGAGACATTTCAACATTCATTGCGACTGTTTCGTTAATAAGAAAGGTAGAAAGGGTTTTAAAAATTCAATTTTTTTGTCCCAATTACAACATCATTATTCATCGAATTAATTCATTAATTAGGCCCTCATTGCTCTACTTCCATTTTTGTAAAATGCCACTGACATTTTGAGGTCAATTTTCCATTTCAATTTGTGTCAAATCACTTTAAACCTCAGTCAATGTCTCAATTTTCATTCCTTCAGCTTGCACTCTAGACGCTTTCACCTCGTCATTGTTTCTATGATTAATTTTATATATTGATTCCAGTAGAAACGTATCTGGGACAATTTAGGGCCCTTTTTTGGTTTCAGTTGAGGGTCAACGAGGGTTTTAGGGTTTAATGGCCCTTAAGGATGTTTTGGGTTGAGGATCAAGTGGTTTTGAGGGTCAAAAAGGGCCATTTGACCCTTAATAAAGGTCGAATGACCCTCAAAAATGTTTAGACTCTGATCCTTATTTTCCCCTGATGACCTTTTGACCCTCAAAAACCCTCAAATGACCCTTCCTACCACGGAATTCTCTTGGAATTCCGACTCCTTCAGACCCTTGAGACCATTTTGTCATTTTACTTGTTGATTTCAGTAAATACGAGTATTGGGGATAATTTATAACTCTTTTTTTGTTTTCATTTGAGGGTAAAATGGGCTTTTAGGAGCAAACGATCCTTAAAGATGTTTTGGATTGAGGATCAAATGGTTTTGTGGGTCAAACAACCCTTGATAATATTCATGGGTCATTTGACCCTAAGTTTTCAGCCTTAAAGGATACTCTTGAGAAAACCCTTTTCAAAAACCTCGAGGGTTCAAGGGTTTTAAGGTTCAAAAAGAGTCATTTAACCTTTGATGAGGGTCAGAGGTTGACTCTTAAAATCCTGAAGGTTTTTAAGGGCTGTTTGATCCTGACGACCGTTTGACCCTCCACAACCCTCAAATGACCCTTTCTAACCCTTGAAATTCCGACCCTTTCAGGCCCTTAAGACCATTCAACCCTTATACTTTACCCTTCCTGACCCTCACGACCATTTGACCCTTAAAATTAAACTGACCCTCGAAATTAAGGGTGAAATGACCCTTAACTTGACCCTCACACTAAACCTCTTAAGGGCCATTTGGCCCTTATGACTCTCAACTAAAAAAAAATTTCTATTCCATTTTCTCCCCATCTCCTGAAAAAAGCGAATTTGGTTTTCCAAAAAAATATCAAAATCGCTTTTTTCCCACCATTTCATTCGTCAAATGTTCTTTCAAGTTTTTCATTCATGTTATTTCTCAATCCCTTCGTATCACGAACTAATTAATCATAAGACCAAGGCGAGTAAATGAGTAATGATCGAAATAATACCCGACAAAATGTACCCCTTAATGATTCATTTAGCCTAGATCAGTCTCTCAATCCTCGTGATACGAAAAAACCCCTCATAACATTTATTTCCATTTATTCTGGTGAACAAGTCTGAGGTGATAACGTCACTACACATCACTAATTTTACTTATGGGTATATACATACATTACAGTTATAAATTCATCACACGCATTACAAATTCCTCTCACAATTTCTTACGAAATCTAAACTTAGGTGCGATTTGTTCTGTTCTATTCTGTTCTCTTCACTTCCTCCTGTTTCATTCCTTCGGATTTTGTGGGCTTCATTTATCATTAATCAGTTATTTTCAAGGTCCAAGGTCTCTTCACTAATCTGTCTGCATTATTTTTCTTTTAAATCTTTGTTGAGATTTTTTTTTTGGAATTGCTGTTTCAAGCCCCCCACGTGCAGACGAATTTTTCGAGAAAGCAGAGGTTTTTTAGTCGAGAGTTATCGCACATACATTCCATCATGAATCAGGGGGTCTCTCCATGGGTCTCCAAGGGTTTTTAATGATTTTTCTTTCATTGAAAGAGAGGGAGAAGTCTTGAAATGATGAGAAATGCAGAATTTGTGGAGGATCGATGGACTTGAGATCTCATTTCGCGAATATCTCGGGAGGGAGTGGATTTAAGCGGAAATGTCGCTCCACATTTTTTGTGGAGAATTTAATTTTCTGCAAAAAAGGTCTTGACACATTTTTCAATGGATTCACTGGTTCTGGAGATATTCGCGAAATAAAGGAATGACTTCTTCATTTTCATCTTCTGGTCGATGAGACATCTTTGTTACTTTGATTTTTTGGATGTGAAATATACAAAAAATATCAGGATGATAAAAAATGGTGGGATGTGATTTCTTGGGGATATTCAGTCAATAATTTCAGTGAATATGAGCAAGAAAATGTGAAATCTGCGGTTTATACAAATGGTTATCATCAATTTCTCGATGAACCCATGGAGATTTCTACGTCTACGAAGGAAAGTCTCAATACTCGATATTTGGCACAGATTAACCGAAGGTTGAAACAGTTCTCCAATGTGCACCAAGTGGAATAAAAAAGCAGAATTTAAAAAACGGGGCACATTTCATTAGTGCAAGTGGTAAAATACAATTTCTTTCTTCGTAATTCCTTGATTATCTCGAGAGCCAGTGGATTTATCGAAAAATGTGGCTGAACATTTTTTGTAGAGTTTAATTTCCTACAAAAAATGTTCCATGGCATTTCCTTCTATCTTTGATAATTACAGAGATAATTAAGGAGGTAATCAAGTACTGGGAAAAATGATTCAGGCAACTTTTTTCTTCTGTTTTTAATTGAGAATTCAAACGACCCTTGATGAGGGTTAAGGGTCAAATGGCCCTTTCAGACCCTCAATTAAAGACAAGGAAGTTTCCAAACATTATTTCTGGCTGTTAGTTGATTTTCCAATGGTCTTGAGGGTCAAAAAACCCTTAATGACGTCTGGAGGCGAGGGTTAAGGGTCAAACGACCCTTCCTGACCCTCAACCTCTAACGCCCTTGAGAGTCATTGACGCCTAAAACCAATAAAAACTTAACTAACAACCAAAAAAATTTGAAACTTCATATTTGTCCTTAATTGAGGGTCAAATGAGTCCTCCTGGCCCTCAAAACCGTTTGACCCTCACCTAAAAACCAATGAAAACCCCCTAAAGGGCGTTAAATGATCGTTTTTCCCTGTGACTTCCAACGTTTTACCCCATATTACCCCCTCGCAACTGATTAAATCATCTCAATCCCCCAAAAACTCCAAAAAAACTTCAATAATATGTGTCAAATATAAAGCATGCCCGTATTCTCAATCAAAACCCTCTCTGTACGATATAACAATGACACAGGAGACATTGAGAAACATACAATATTCATTTTAAATCAATTAAACTCCTCCAATGCATTTTTATTCATCATCTTTTAGTCTATATTTTAACAATCGTAAAAAAAAGGGGGAAAAAAACGTAAATATATTATAATACAGCGTACGTTCTTAAGCTAGGAATATTCATTGTGGGTTATTTACGCACTTGAGAGCCTCAATTTCTATTCACTCATCATAAAAAACATTTGTTTCCTCCTCTTGTTTTCAAGACAATTGAGTACAATTGTCTTCAAACTCAGCTTCATTATTCATAACTCATGAGTAGGCTCGTTACATCGACGAATAATCTGTCATAAAAGTGCATGAGAACAAAAAAACATACGATATTTACATAAAAAAGTTGAAATATTGAATTTCATTTCGATTTTTCAGTTTTTTTTTCTCCTCGCTCTCGTTTTTTTTTCTCACCCGCTGGCACCTCCAGGCACAATAAAATGTTCTCAATTCATAATTAATCAATTATTTAATTATCTATTCAATTAATCAATCAATTGATCAACGACTTCAATTTTTTTTCCATCGAAAAAAAAGCGGAAAATTTTTGTTTTTCCTCGATTTTTTTCTCGCTTTAGTTTCATTTTTTTTGCTGTTGTTTTTTTCCCGATGTCTTGGTGTTTATGGAGTTGTTGGTGCGGGCTTTAATGTGGCTGATCACGAGTGCTTGACGACGATGACACCAGGTCGCTGCTGATTGGGCTGATTGGTGTGGAGGTGGAGGAAGTTGACGTCTGCTTGGAGAAGTCGTTGCTTGGTGAAGGAGGCGGTGGCACCTGTTGGCTTATTGGTGAGGGCTAGGGGTGCATCCTGGGCTGGCTCATCGCTAAAGAGATGATCGCCCTCTAGGTGGCGAATTGCCTCGACAATTGTCTCAAGATTCTGGCGAGAGGTGTTGGCGAGATAGTGACGCGCCTGTGGCGTGCCATCCTCCAAGGAACTTGAGGGCGATGGCAGTCTGAAATTCATTCAGAAAATTATTAATCATCTTCACGAGTCTTCTGTAAAAAAACGTTTAACTGTCTCATTTGGCCCATTTGAGCCCTTACGACGACCCTTGCAAGCCCTTTTGACCTTGCAAGCCCTATGATGATTTTTCTGCGCTTTTCACTCATCTGAATCAAACATTTGATTATCTCATTCGACCCTTGTGACCCTTATTATGCCCTTCATGAGCTCCTTTGACCCTTATGACCCTTATTATGACCTCCCTGAGCTCCTTTGACACTTATGTTCCTTATGATCGAACCCATGGCGCAGTCACGTCTTTGGTAAATAACATTTGATTATCTCATTTAACCCTTTTGGCCCTTACGACGACCCTTACAAGCCCTTTTGACCCTTACGACGATTTTTCAGAGCGTCTAACTCATCTGCACTCAACTCTCTTTGATCTGTAAAATCTAATCATTATTACATTTGAAAAGTGAAATAAGTCTCAATTATCTCATTTGACCCTTCTGACCCTCCTGATAACCTTCACAAGCCCTTTTGACCCTTATAAAGACTTTCATAAGCTTTTTTGACCCTTATGACGACTTTCACAAGCCCCCAACTCATCTGAACGATTTGATCTACACAAACTCATCATATTTAAACATTCAAATATCATTTTATCACCGCATTTGACCCTTTCAACCCTTACGATACCCTAATTTGACCCTTTTGGCCCTTGCATTAACCTCCGTAAGCCCTTTCAACCCTCACGACCTTCATAAACTCCTCTAGATCTCCAACAACTGGAAAAAAGAGAGAACAAAAAACAAAAAAATCTTCTCACCTTTCAACCTCAACTTTAGGTTCAGCCTTCATCGCCGCTTCAAGAACACTAGGTAAAATAGGTTCAGCAGCTGGTGAAAAGGGCCTCGTCGGGCTAGCCGCGATAAACTGTGCCCCCGTGTTCTTAAATTCGCTAGCATAAGTCACCCTCGAGGGTGAAAATGCCTCTGTGTTGCTGCCCTCCTCGATCGTCGCTGTGAATATCTGATTGTTAGCAGCGAATGTGACGATTTTTGGACTTCCCGGACGTGTCTCCTCATCCTTAATCTCCTCGGCTATTAATTCAACTGGCTGGGGCGACAGGGGCGGTGATGTTGGATCTTCATTCGTTGTTTCAACGGTTTGTGTCGAACCCACCGCTGGTATTGACATCACTGAGACCACCTGGAGGGCGGTCACTGCCTCTTCCGTTTCTTGGGCAAGCACGTTGTCAGTGTGTTCAATGACCTGAACATAATCATGATTAATTTGGTTAACAACGGGTCTTATAATTGTAATTACGTCTCGTATGAAGTTTCATGAAATTAATTTTTTTTCCAGGGAAAAATCGTCATGTCGTTGTTTTTGGAAATATCCTGAGGGGGAGTAGGTTTAGGGGAAAATGTTGCTTGACATTTTTTATTGGAAATTGAATTCTCTACAAAACATTTGGAGAGACTTTTTTCTCTACAACCACTGTTTACCGAGATAATTATGAAATTCGCAACTGCATTCCTGAATTTGGAGAATAATTTCGGGTTGAAGACTTTGGTTGTTGATTTAGTAATTATCTCGTTAAGAATCGATTCTAGGAGATTATGTCACTGAACATTTTTTGTGGGAAATGTAATTTGCAATAAAAAATTTTTATGATATTTTTTGGTAGAATTGATAATTACTGAGATAAACGCGGGTTAATGATTGCAGTTTTGGGGGGCGAGTTGATTTGTGGGTTTAGAAGAGATTAATTACCTCGTGTGGCTGATAAGTCATGACTTGATTGTCACAGAATCTGTCTGGATAAACTTGTGCCTGGATAGCCCGCATCTGCTTCTCCAGGTGTAGCCTTTGATGGCGTTCTCTCTCCAACTGTCGTCTCAACTCGACAACCTCACTGTTGTTATTGTTAACTACTGAGTGATTATCGGATGATACTGTGATTACAGAGAGGGGCTCGGGCGACATGCTACCTAGTCCTTCGTCTCCACTCTCGCTTACGTGCATTGGGAGACTCACGACAACTCCTGAAAACAAAATTTTAGTTGCAACGAGGTTTTAATATAACTCAGAACATTTTTTCGGTTTTAAGTGAGGGTCAAATGGTTTTGAGGGTCAAACCATTTGGATGAAAGGGTCTTGAGGGTCGGTTGACCCATACGAACATGCACGGGTTATAAAAGAGTGATCAGAAAGGGTCATTTGACCCTTCTGACCATTTGACCTTTAGCCCCGAATATCATGAAGGGTCGTTTGACCCTCTGGACCATTCGACACGCAACTAAAAATCATTGAAATATCTCAAATACACCTGCGTTTACGAGAAAATGTGTTAAAATCTTTTTTGTAGCCAATGAAATTTCCTACAAAATATATTTTACGATATTTTGTTCTAAAACCACTCATTACCATGATAATCCAATGTTAACAAAACAAAAAGTTAAACTACTTGAGCGCATCAATTTTTCCTCCCTCCACTAAATAAAAAAATTATAAAATCATCCTCGAATAATTTATTCTTGTCTTTGAACCTCGCGAAATGTTTTCAAAGAATCATTCCCCAGTAATTTACCGTAATTTCAAGTCACCCGAAAGGAACAAAACTCCTGTATCTCGAGGGGTTAAAAAAATCGCGTGCAAAATTCCCCCAAAGGTCTCGCCATTTCCCCAGTACTTACTCTTTTATTGCATTCAAAAAAAAGCCCCGCTGCGTGTGTATGACCATTGAAATAAACTTGGAACCGGTATTTTACTTTCAAATTATCAAAACATAATTTTTCCTCGTGAATGCTCGTTTTTTTTTCTCCTACCTTGACTCTCGGCTTTGCGTTTTTTAATCGGCACGTCGCCTCCCTCGTGCTGATTCACCAGTCTTTTTAGCTGACAGTTTTGGGAAAGGAGCTGGGTTTTTTCCTGCTCCAGTTGGTAGATGTATTCAGCCGTTTGTTGGAGAATTGCCGCCTGGAAAAATAAAAAAAAAATCCAACATGAATTCCTGTGATTCTATATTTCATGCAGTTATAAATACTTATAGGGATCATCTCTCTATGTTATAAAAATCCAAATCTACTTCTGGTTAAGAATAAGGGTCAGATTAAGGTTCACAAGGGTCACAAGGCTAAGGGTCACAAGGATCAGAGTAGAGGTCCAGATAAGGGTCATGGGGGTCATGCAGGGATCATCTCTCTATATTATAAAAATTCAAATCTACTTCTGATTCAGAAAAAAGGTCAGGTTAAGGGTCACAAGGGGCAGAGTAAAGGTCCAAAGGGCCATGGGGGTGAAAATAAGGGTCATTGGGGGTACATGAGGGTCATGTAGGGATCATCTCTCTGTATTATAAAAATCCAAATTTACTTCTGGTTCAGAATAAAGGTCAGGCTAAGGGTCACAAGGGGCAGAGTAAAGGTCCAAAGGGCCATGGGGGTGAAAATAAGGGTCATTGGGGGTACATGAGGGTCATGTAGGGATCATCTCTCTATATTATAAAAATCCAAATTTACTTCTGGTTCAGAATAAAGGTCAGGTTAAGGGTCACAAGGGGCAGAGTAAAGGCCCAAAGGGTCACGGGGGTGAAAATAAGGGTCATATGGGGCTATATGAGGGTCATGTAGGGATCATCTCTCTATATTGTAAAACCCAAATCGACCTCTGGTGATGAAAATTTGGTACGCGAAATTAAGACTCCAAAATTAAGGGTCAAAAACCAAGGGTCACAGGGTTATAACGAGTCATAATAAGGGTCAGATTAAGGTTCACAAGGTTCAGCCTACGCGTCACAAGGATCAGAATCAAGTTCCAAATAAGGGTCGTGGGGGTCAAATAAGGGCCAGAATAAGGGTCATGTGGGGATTATATGGGGCTTGGCGAGCGGAGCGAGCAGGGGTGCTGTCCCCTACTTTGCAATAAAGTTTAACCACATTTTCTATCAATCCTGACTCTCGACAATGATTTGAGCCATTAATCCACCGAAATCGAAGCATTCGGGATAGTCACGAACAGCTTCCACAAGCAATCGAAAGCAACTTGGGTTTCCCGAATCTCCCAAAAATCGTTGAAAATGTGAATC